TGTGCATCTGTTTAAAAGTCGTTAACGTCAATAAGAATTATCGAGACTGATAAACCTATTGCGATACTTTCAGTTCTTAATTTGTACGTAACAAGAGGAAATTGTTAAAGAAAGTATGATTTGTATGATTTCGTTAAAGAAAATCTATTTTATCTACAGGAAATCTTTTCTCTTCCGTCAACGAATATTCCATAAATAAATTTTAATGCATAAATATATTGATATAAAAACACACGTAAACTATTTTTATAAATCGACACTTGAGACGTAGAGGAAGGAATAATTGACAAGGGAAATATAAATAATATCTTTAGCGGTATCTAAGATAAATAATTGAGAAAAAATGCGACAACTTTCATCCGACATACTTTACCGCAGTGAAATGAGATGCGAGGGGGAAAAAATATGTTTGCGATCGAACAGGGATGGCTCTCACGTGTCTCCAGCCGACACTGCAGCTGGCTGCGCAGACATCTCTCGCGCGCGTTCCTTCCTCGTGTAAGCCGGCTTTGTCGAGCTCGGTTGCGTCGCTCTCTCGTATACGTTCGTGACGTCACGCGCTGCAAGTTGGACTCGACGGAGAGAGGCCACGTTAGCATCGGGGCAGAGGGAGGGGGGATGGTTGGTCATGGAACGAAAGGGGAATGGATGGGCGAATGCGCGAGAGGTGCACATAGGGTGTCCGGAATATCGGAATATTAAGTATCGTTTTGATATTTCTTCGGAGCATTCGAGCAAAATCATGAAATCCATCATAATCGAAAATTGGAAAATCATGTTGATGGATCAAGGCTGACAAAATGATGGAATCTCTTTATTTACTTAATTTCAAGCAAATTTTGTATCGAAGTTATTTGTCACGAAAATTAAGAGATAGTTTATTTTGAATTTTTATTACGAAAAAATTGACTTAAAAATTCATCTTAAAATCACGATTAAAAAGGTATAACTAATGATACAAAAAAAATGTATAATTATTATTATTCACGCGTTCTCCTGAATATCATATATTTTTGCTCAATTATCAATTTATTTATGAAAGAAAATAATTTTTTTACTTATAATACACATATATATGAAATGTCTCTCTCTCTTTCTCTCTCTCTCTCTCTTTCAATAATCAATTTATTATTAGGCAGATCATGTTAAACTTTTATGAACTCGCGAAATATTTCGCCGACTGCATTCTTTTACGATGCACTTCTTGCAATCAGTATTGCGCGCAGACTTTGTTCTCGTATTTTTTCCATCCTTCTTTCTCACTATTTCGGCTTTTCTCTCCGTCGAGAGACTCATCGACACTTTTTTAAATTATTCATCTCCGTGCCAACCAGTTTCAATCCCTTGCTACGTTTTTTCTCGGTTCTATTGGTATTGATGTACTTTCATAATTGAATATATTAAGTTTGTATATTGGATTTTTCCTTTAAATTTCAGGCCGAGCAATAATTATTTTGAGATTTTCGACTAGTCATAGTTAATTATGTCGCTAATAATGATGTGTTAAAAATGAGAAATTTCGAGCAAACCTTTACAAATTCTTTGACGTTTCTAATTAAAATCATTAAATTTCAATTAAAATATCGTCACTTGGGAACAATCAACTCTATTTTATTAATAATACTTCATTCATAAATAATAAAAAATTAAGTTTTATATTACTAATATTTTGATCGCACTTTTATTTGTATTCTTTATGTATAGTCGCGCATGTATAGTCGCGCATAAAAATATATAAAAAGATAATTCATCAGCTGATAAATTATCATTTTATTTACGCACAGTCACATATATATGGGCACATATAGGCATGTATGCACAATTAATACATGTTCTAAGCGAACCTCGATACTAACGCATATTCATATTTTGCGTGTTGACCTAATTAGGTGAATTCGCTTAATGCTTTTAAAGGATTTAACGATTTAAACTGCAGGTAATGTAAAAATTTATACGCTCGTGAGAAGAGGAATAATTTATTCAGGAATTATATATCGGAGTTATAAATCTTCAAATAAAATTTATACATGCCTATAAAAAGTACATGTGATTCTCCGTGTGTTAAAAGATAAAAAGAAGTTTCATATCAAACTTCGCGCACAAATTATGGCTTCGTAAAAACCGATGCGTATCGCTTCTCATAAATCCTGTATGACTCACACGAGTGCTTATAACGCACGACTTAATCTCTTTTTATCTTTTAACAATTAAGTATATTCTCTATACTCTATTGGTATTCACAAGAGAACGCTAATTATCAATCGTAAATATTCATTAAATTCACGGCGTATGACATAAGTCATAAGTTATTGACAATGATATTAACTCATGATTATTCGATAAATTTAATAGGAGAGGCTGTTTTTTCTTATCTTTTATTTTTTAATTAAGATTTTCTTAATTTTTAAATAAATATTGTAAATTTTTTTATGTCTTTTCATAAATCTCTTTTTCCTTTTCTTTTTATATAAAATTATTAAATTAAAAGATGAAGCAATTCAAGCAATTTATTTCTATATTTTACTATATATAGAAATTTTCTATTTCTAGCAATTTTTCTAAAAGATGCGAATAATCTACGGAAAGCGGAAGTAATCATGATAAGAAAAAAGGCTATTAAAAAATTTAAACCAATTTTAGAAATGCGCGTAAATATTATTTCACAAATACGGACAAATATTCATTAGTACAAAGTTTAAGCTAGTCGTAATCGAAACGGGAAAGGCAAACATTCCCTTAAACGAAAGGGAGGCTTGGCCTTATCTAATCGCATTCTCGGCCGAGTGCACGTCGGCTTCGGGAAATGCTTTCAAAAAGCAGCGAAAGCGAACGCTCGCCGAAGGTGGACGTTGCACCGGCAACGTTTTCTCTTATTTTCGCCCCGGCTTGACTTTCGTCGAGTCGCATCGAATCGAGCCGAGTCGATCGATCGGTCGCGGCTCGCACCTCGAGACCGACAAGTCCGAAGGTGCATGTGCATATTGCACCGGTCCGCCTTAATGGCGTGATGGCGTGACCGTGCGTGCGCGAGCGTGGGGTGGCGAACGGAAAGAAACGAAACGAAACGAGACGAGATCCGAGCGGGAACGCGATGTCGCGTGTTCGAGCCGCGGTCGCGTGTGTCGCGAATATTACACGCGATCCTTGGACCCGGCGGCCGGCTAAATGTCTCGTCGCACGAACCGGCCCCTCTCGCGATTTCTCTCACTTGCACTTTTAATTTCCTCGCTCGATGCTCAATACGCGAGCCACTTCATTTCACTCGTTACAAAGAGCCTTTCACATAAAACCATCGAAATTATAATGCGATAATTGTCTGTAATCTCGATATCTTAATCTGTACAATATCAAAAAATTATGCGATTTAATATATCCCATTAAATGGGATAGATAAATCCCATTAAAATATTTTTAAAAAATATAGAAATATGAAATATAAAAAACCGATCACAAAAATCAGATGCTAGATAAAAATACAATAAAAATAACAAGTCCCAAAAAGGCACACCATAAATCGCAAACTTTTTGTTCATAATTTTTTGATATAAATATAGATTAAGATATCGAGATTACAGAAAAGTAAAAATGTAAAAAAAATTATAATTTAATTAATTTCAACATCAGCACATCTGGATAATTTCCGAATGAAAATTTCGAAAAACAGAGTTGAGTTTTCAGCTGCTGTCGCATGCAAGAAGATATTTCCATTGGATTATTGACTGGTCGTTAAATTTCTAACTAGGATCAATTCCGAATGACTCGAATAAGCCGTCATTAAAATAATAGCGCGGTGCTTTTGAAACACCTTGTGATATAGATTTTATCGAACAATATTCCGGAGAGAGATTTCGACTGTGTGCGATTATTGTTTAATTTTACGACTCTCTCGTGCAATCTTATCTGTTCCCAAAAGATTGTAGGATATTATTAGACTTCCATATGCCTCATGCATCTTTTCTTTTTGAGCTAGTATCGTGATGTATGTTCCAAAATTAAAAGGCAAAACTTCTCAAGCAAACGGTGCATAGTTTGTAACTCTCGTGCGCTACCTTGTGCAGTCTCGCGTATCTCCCGTCGGCTGAGAACTTTGATAGCATACGTCGACATGTTCTCTTGTTGCGTGGGAAAGTGCTGAATAATGACACGGTCATTCTTTACACGTCGGGTAAAGCCAATAGCGGCCGCGCTGTCGGAAAGCCCATCAAGACTGCGAGTAACTACGTATTTGCTTTCAAAGATTTTCTCTCTAATTTTATTTCACGTTCGGTTCTCTCTAGTATTAAATCGAAACGACTTTGTGACCGGTCTTTGTATATAATTTGGAGAAATATATGCCTGAATACGCTTAGAAATCCGATTTTACCCGATTATCGAAGCCTCCTCCAAGAAATTTTTTATTTCGCTATTCTTATTTTATCGATGCAATTATAATTTAGAAAATATATTTCACTTTATATAAACTTTCGATTGTATTAGCTACAGGTAGCACATGCTTTCTACACTTTTATTTTATTAAATGTGATATTTTAAATATTATATTTTATTTTTAGTTTTATTATATTAATATTATTTTTATTTTTATTATATTTTATTTTAGTTTTATACATATAGTTATTATATATATATAGTTTTCTATATATTATTTTCTATATATTATTTTTATTATATTAACATTTTATATTCAATATTAATATTTGTATTTAATATTTTAATATTAATATTTTATATTTAATATTATTATATTACATTTTTTATTTTTATTACATTATATTTTAATTTTATATACATGTTTCATATAATGATGATCGTTATTTAGGGAACACGGTACGCGAGATTTCGTCGCTCTTTATCAGATCTTCGGATATGCATTTCCCGCATTTCCGGAAAAACGACAGGACGGAATGCCGATGCGTTGCACGCTGCTCTTTGTTTCCAGTCGCGTTGTGCCGTTAAGCGGCACGCCGAAGAAACACCTGACGTCGTCAGGCGGTCGCCAGCGAGCAGCCAGCCAGTCAACCAACCAGGCGGGCAGGCAGGCAGGCAGACAGGCAGCCCGCGTCGTACGTAAGTACATACCTGTGGCAGGTGAATCGAGTCAGGTGCTCCAACAGATGGGCGCCTTTACTCGAGAAAGCGTTATAAAAGCGGTCTATCATAAATGTGGGTTACTAGCTATGACTAACGCCCGACGAGCTTACGCTCGCGCGCACCCCTATCATTTGCGAATTGTTTTCATCCAAAAATGCGTTTGTCAGCTCTGGAAAAGACTGCGCCTAATCTTTAAATACTACTTAAATATTCCAAGAAATATCTATTTCTTGGAAGATTTAGAAAAGTATATTAATTTCTAATAACTAGTGGAAAATTAATGGACGTGAAGAATAGAAATGTTACAATCACGTGTAATTGTCGGCTCGCATAAATTCATTTCGTCCAGACGACAATATTGAATATTTCTCCAACGCGTACATAAATCGATTTACGATGGTATCGCGTTTTTATACGTCGGAGATGTTTTGATTACATTGGAGAATTTATTGTTAACTTTGATTAACCATCGAAGGCCAAGGAGAGTCAAATATTTTGTTTATCAATCCGTGAAACGGGAAGGTTATTGTGCGAGTGAAAAGCGAAATGTTCAGTCGTCCTTCGACGGTCCCGCGAACAAGTAACGTCTTTTCTTCTCTCTCGCTTCTTATTTCACGGACACGTGGCGAACGAATTGCGACGTATGCATGCGCCGGCAGCATGAGCCCTCGCGTATGCGTTGTTACTTACGTACGTGCGAGCGTATGTGCGGTCACGTGTAAGAATGGGATAGCGAAAACGTGACGCGATTATGCATTCTCGCTACGTCGTCATCTCTGGTTGGTGCAAACACGAGCCGTCGTGCGTAGTCCGAGGTAGCGGTCTGGCGCGCGCGTTATGGTAATTTTATTAAACGTGTGTTTCCTCTTTGGAGGAATTTAAAGAAGGCGCGCGCATAATCGCGAACCTCGCCGAGCGACAATTTGCCGCGCGTTATCAACGCGTTATCCGTCGATTATACCCAAATGTATAACGCAGAATGTTATAGATTTATGTTTTATTTATGGAAGATCACACTAATCGTGATCGTCTTTTCGCATTTTTATTATTAGCGAACGACGTTAATTTGCATCCCATTGTATGTAATATTAGCTTGCAAACTAATTTATTCTTTTATATTTGAAAAAGGATTTATAATTTAATTTCAGTTTGATATAAATTTTTGAAGACACAAAAAAATATTTTGATGAATAATTATTTTAAATTGAACAGTTTTAAATTGGTTTATAAATTATTAAATAATGACGGTTAGTAGAAAAATACTACACAAATTAAAAAATTTAAAAATACATTATATAACAGTGTAGACAAATTATAAACAAATTAGATATAATACAATTTGTAATTCAAATTGCTAAAAAAAATATTAGCAAAACTTTCTTGGTTTCGTTTTAAACAAAAGCTTATTCTAAACATAAATTTATTATTTTGCACAATATTCATTTGTATTAGAATAATCGATAAATGTTCAATTAATGCTTAACGGTGCAAAATTTTTTTGATAGATGCGTAGATAGGAGAAGAATAAAGTTTAATTAATTGGGATCGAAAAAAAGTCTTTATGACCATCGCGATGGCTACCGGTTAACAACCAGTGTGAACATAAAGTGCAACGAGTTGATTGCCTTCAAGAACGGATGTCCTCGTGTACGCCAGAAGGAACAGCTGCCAGCACTTCGTCCACGTCTGATTAGACAAAAGTAAAATATGTTTCCAGGTAAGATGTTATCGTTTCAAATCATAGTCGTTTCGTTTCCTTGTGCCTTTTGCATCGCGCGATTTTTCAGCTGTGTGTGTTTCAAAAAATCAAACAAACAACGAAATTAAAGTATCCTCCAACGTTTGCGTATTTGAAAAATACACATTGATAGCGAAAAATATTATATAGCGATTTTGTTAGAAATTATTATCTTTCTATATGATTATTTTAAAGTTAAATATTGTGTACAAGAGATATTAACTATCGAATTTTTTCATATTTTTACATAACCAATTATAGACATGAACGAAAACACAAGATATTGATAATTTTATCTCTTGATATAACAAGATTCGTAAACAAATACATCGTACTCATGCATTTCATAATGTATGCTTTGCATAATTTAACATGAGCTTTTCATTACATGATAAATTCAATTATGTTTCTTAATGCAAGGTTATTCCGTACGTAATAACAATCTCACGTGAGATGCAGAAAGGTTCTATGAGGTAAAATCTTGTATTAGCTCGTATTTTTTTAATGAAGCTTATATAATATACGCTTATAATATTGTACACGATTCCATCACTTCTCGTAACGCAAAGGAATCGAGATAGAAGTACCTTGCACTGCTTTATCGCGATTTTATTGCGGTAATTTATCGAGATTTTACTTTATAATACCATTTTAATTCATTCCTTTACACCGCATTGTTAAAAAAATTGCTATAAAAACTAGAGCTTATTAATACAGTTAAACTTCATCTAAGTGCGAATAATAATTACAGGAACAGATGATTTTTTTTATTTTAATTGACATTTAGTAATAGCAAAGATATTTCCATTAATTTTAATATTTAAAATTAATGGAAATATCTATTATTATCTATTATTATATCTATTATTATCTATTATTATCTATTATTTTATTTCCATTAATTTTAATATTTAAAATTAATGGAAATAAAATAATAGATTAATTTATAATAATTAACATTATAGAATATTATTAATATATAAATTAATATAAAATAATTCCTATTTAACGAGAAATACTTTTAATATAGCAGATATATATCGCGAGTTGTTGGAATGGTACCGATTTAATTCCAACAGCATGTCCAACACATAATTTTTAAGCTATACGTATCGCGTACTCGTGTTCCTACAAGCGGCCGGATTCTCGTTTTAATACGAAGGGAGAGAGGCTCGAAGCTCATTGTGAGCTCCGAGTCTCCCTCCGCACCGTTCGTCCTCAGCGACTGCGACGAAAAGGAAGAATTCAAGGTCAGCATGTTCTTCTGCACCGCTGCAACCCGCACTCTCCTCGTACCTCGCATTATGCACGTCTTACCGTGGCACGTCGCGAGACCTATCTTATTACGCATATTATTACAGTGCCCTCTCTTTTGAAACGCAAGAGAACGCATTGCGTGTGTGTGTCGACTGAGAATTTAAATACTTAAACTATTTCCTGCGCGTCCACTACGCATCTTTGTGCGAATAATTTCTCTAAATAATTAGAGAAGTTTCCAGGATCGAATATTTAACGGCACAATTTGCGAGATAGATATAGTCGCGCGAGCCTTGCAAGTCCAAAGGCGAGTTCGCACGAGAAACACTTTATTCCACGATGTCGGAGGTCGGATCATCGGGAGGAAGTATTACGCGAGTGGCTCTCGTGCATAATTTGCGAGAAACATTCGCACGTGAAGCTCGTCCTCCCTTTCGTTGAAATAAAATTCGCTTCGACTTAAGGCGGGACGAATTGCAACAGCGGAATAGAGGCTCGTAGAGGACGAATTCCAACTATGTAGTAAAGATGTTATGAATAAGAACACTGGCGCGCGATTGTGTAAGCGGAAAAGTTATTTGCCAATGCGGCGATAAAGTATCACGCTAGTACTACGGTGTTATAATACGGTGACACATCATCGCGCCAGTGTTTTATCGCCGAGAAGCGATACGAGACGACGAATACTTGGTGCGCGAAATCGCGAAAGCTTCTGCGCTACGCGATAAATATTTATATCATTGCGGAACGTTGTTCATTCTCGGGCGATTGCAATCGTTTTATCTCTTATTTCTCACGGAGATACGCAGCCCGTCAATTTATAAATCCGGCATGTACAGCCTGTAGCTCGTGAGATGTACACTCTCGAAGATATCCGGGCAATCCGAAGTTTATTTACCTAATATTTATCTAATATTGATCTTTATTGCGCGTAAAAAGATCTGAAAGATGGTCGAAAAGTCGTAAAAAGATCTGAAAGATGGTCGAAAAGTCGCTCCTTGAATATCTAAACCGATGATATTGATTTCTGAGACTCGATGGAAGATTTATAAATTTCATTATACAATAAATAAATGTATATGTTGATATACGCGTATACTTATCTTTTGATAGTTGCAAACTAAAGAGGCTAATTTATATCGCGCATTTCGAAAAATAAAAATATGTGTTTGTAGAAGTGTCAGCATAATTTTAATCAAACATTTTTCCGATATTACGCAACTTGCGCGGGTTAAAAATGCGAGTATCAATTTCGCGATAGGAACCCAACCGAAGTCAGCACTTCTCTATGAAAAATTTCATACGAGTTATAAATTTCAAGCAATAAAAAGCGATATTTCATCATCAGTACAAAACGATACAAGCTTACATTTCTCTTCATATCACATAAAGAAGGTAACTCATCTTCTTGCCTTTTGCGCTGACGGGGGGGCTTTTTACGAATACAATTTCAAGTTTAAATCTCGGACTATAACGCGTATCTGCAGCGAGTAATTTCAGGGGGCAAGAAAAATGCGGAGCGTCCAACCAGGTGGAACACATTTCTGCTCTCCGCTGCATTTGTCGCGGAATAAATTCCGCACACATGCACCGCGCATATGCATTCGGACGGCAGCTCTCGGGTGAAAGAGAGAGAGAAAGAGAGAGTACGTGAAACGCGTACGCGCGCGAAAACTTTTCTATCGATCGGCGAGCGCTCCCCGGCTTCGAGGGGCGAGGCGCGGGGGGAGTCACGTTGTCCTCGCGTGTCGATACCGATAACACCTTCGCCCTCGGCGTCGCCTCGCGAGCGACGCTCCGTCGTAGCCGGTGCACGATAAGGCGCTTATCGCCACTGCCGCTGTACCAAGATACGGAGTCTTGGCTTTCGCGTAAAGATCGGACCCGCGAATAAAGACGAAGGTCGCATCGCGTCGTAGACGGCGATTTGGTCCATGATCCTTGAGATGGCCCGATTGAAAGATCGACATCGGCGCCTTTTAATTTTTTTTTTTACTTCTTGCGATCATTGTTACGATTTAGCCTATTTATGAGTGCAAGAAATTATATAAAAAATTATATTTTCTAAAAAAATGTAGATGAATTATACGGTTTATTTTGTGCGTCAGAAATTGCATTATGTTTTTATAACTCCTCCTAGAACCGTCTTTTCTCGAGTAATGTAATTTGGCTCGTCGCACAAATTAATATCGTCGAATAATTTTTAAATGCCAGCCATGATCGCATAGATTGATTGTACGCCAATAAGAAACTAACGCAATTACTACACGGCTCCAGTTTTTCTCTCCGCGGATACCGCGCGCCCGTAATTGCGAAATATTTTGCAATTTCGTAGATTGGGGAGAGGGAGGCGCTTTTTTTCGAGGGAGCATCCGCGTGCGCGACGGTACCCGACATGCCGGTCACGTAAAGCCCGTAGTTCCGAAGGTATCCTGAGAGCACACCGCGGAATACTAGAATACTATAGCGGCGAGAATGCGCGGCACATACCCGCAGCGCGCGAGCGGATAACCGTGCTCGAATGCGCGCGATCGAAAGTGCGACGAGGTGCGGTGACGAGTTCAGAATTTTCGGGAGCCCCTCGCGAGGGATACACATCGCCAAAGAGTGCAATATTAAGAATAAAACGTCCACAGAAAAAAAAGGACATTCTTGTTTTGAAAATATATCGGGAGCCCCTCGCGAGGGATACACATCGCCAAAGAGTGCGATATTAAGAATAAACGCCCACAGAAAAAAAGGACATTCTTGTTTTGAAAATATATCGGGAGCCCCTCGCGAGGGATACACATCGCCAAAGAGTGCAATATTAAGAATAAAACGTCCACAGAAAAAAAAGGACATTCTTGTTTTGAAAATATATCGGGAGCCCCTCGCGAGGGATACACATCGCCAAAGAGTGCGATATTAAGAATAAACGCCCACAGAAAAAAAGGACATTCTTGTTTTGAAAATATATCGGGAGCCCCTCGCGAGGGATACACATCGCCAAAGAGTGCAATATTAAGAATAAAACGCCCACAGAAAAAACAGGACATTCTTGTTTTGAAAATATATCGGGAGCCCCTCGCGAGGGATACACATCGCCAAAGAGTGCAATATTAAGAATAAACGCCCACAGAAAAAAAAGGACATTCTTGTTTTGAAAATATATTTAGTTTTAACATAGAAATCTTGAAATGAGATTATATATTAATTAAAGAAAAATATAATTGCTTGAATAATTTGCTTATTTGAATGAAGCCATTTTATACAGTTCAGTCGAGAAAAATATGTTCTTGTGATTTAAGTTTTAATTTTCTTGAATGGAAAAGAAACAATGTTGGATAGAAAGTAACATTTTTAAATCAAAGATTATAATTTTCTTAAAGTAGAATTAAATAATTATATATTCTTGAGGTGACAATTACAATATTAAAATAAGACTATGATATTGTTAAAATTTAAAATTATTAAATTCTTCTAAGAAGATCAGAAATTGTTGCGTATATACGAAACAATGAACGCGTTAGTTTAAGTATATAAGTTTTGATTTGACACCTCTTTCTTTTCTGTGCCCCTTTGCCTCTACAATATAAAAAAAGATTAATCGTATATTTCAAATAACGTATAAAATAAGCACGCTCGAGGGCGCGCGATCAAAAGTGCGATGACAGATTCGCAATTTTTGGGAACCTCTTGTAAAAGATACGTGTCGCCAAAGAGTACAATATTGACTCGCC